TCTGCTGGCTGTGCAGTCCCCAGCCAGGTCTGGCAGGTGTGCAGCAGGTCACAGCCAGGCAGCAGCCCGCACTGCCAGACTGTTGCCGTGCAGAATGGGTGCAGGGAACTCTCAGCTTTTTATACTGCTAGGGACATCACAGGTACTGGCCCCGGGCTCTCATTCCCCCTGGCTGCAGATCTGGGAGGAGCCAGGCAGGGTTATTTTGCCCAAGTGGCACAATTTGCTTCACAACAAAGTTAATGTCCAAGCACATGCAATGAGGCAAAAAGCCCTGTCTCAAATTTGTACTGCTTCTATTTGAACTGCTGCAAGCGCACGTGTGGGAGAGTGCTGGTGCTGAACCAGCTGGTCCTGTCCATGCTCTGGCACCACTTACACACCCTGCCTGTTCCCCTATGTCCTAGTGGGACTCTAGAGAAGGGCGCTGGAGTTTTTATGGCTGGGACAGCACTGGGATGCTGCAGAGGTCCTTGCAAGAGGGCAGCCAGGGCCTGGTTTGCCTGTGCAGCCAGGTCCTGGCGTTCCACCTTCAGGCCCTGCAGCAACTGCTTATGGTGTTGGTAGCCACGTGGCATGGGGCAACCTGGGGCGTGCTTTCCTCCACCATTTGCAGGGGCTCTGATACAACTGGCAGCTCCTCAGCCTGTGGGGCTTCTCCCTACAGGACCTGCGAGGGCTGCCAGATTTCTACCAGGACCTCTTCTGGGCCTAGAGGCTGATTTCTGCCTCCAGGTCCCCTGCAACAGTTGTCCAGGGCGCTGACCTGCTCATCAAGTCCCTCCTCTGGAAACCCCAGCTGGAGGTGTTGACGACAGAGGCAGCTGTGACAGAGGTTGATCCTGGCTGGTGTCACCCATATTGGAGACCTCCTGGACTATGATAGGCGGGAGTGGGTGGACCCTGCTGCACTGGCCCAGCACATGGGTCCACCCATGAACCATGCAATTTGCCGTCTGGTCCAGGAGGTGAAATCTGCCCTCTCTCCCTATGTCCTTGCCTTAGTTGATCAAGTCCTATGCAGTGGCAGTCCCCGCCTGCCCGTGTCCTCCAGCTCACTGGAGTTTGTTGTGGGGCCAGTGCCTCGCCCAGCCTAACAGCACTACCCCCTCCACCACCTGAGCCAGCTGGAGGACACCAGACCAGTCCACTTCTCTACCATCCATCGTCACCACCTCTACACGCTCGTACGCTGCACTGTCCATCATGCCGCCCTCGCATTCCTCCCAGACACCAAGTAGCTGATACCTCGCCTGGCCTCATGGAGCTCCCCGCTCCACCGCCTAAGCTGGCTGGAGGACACCAGAGCAGTCCGGTTTTACAGTGTCTTTTACACTGTCCATTGCGGCCACCTCTACATGCTCATGTGCCACATGATCCATTATGCTGCTCTCATGTCCCACCCAGACAACAAGTGGTAGGACCTGCTTGGCAAGGGTGTGGCTGGGGCACTCCCAGGGGCTGAGTCTATACTCCATCCTCATCCCATGAGC